CAAACCATTGCTTTCCTCAACAGTCACTACTGTTAGTTAACACAAGATTATGTTGGAAATAAGCTAGTGGTGGTCACACCAAGACTTCGCATCAGCCAGTTAGTTTGAGGCATTTAGGAAGGTGTAGACTGCCAGTCTGGCTGGTTGGTTGGTGGTAAGAACCAATGAAGGCTGGAGACAATTGGTGATATGGCTGGCTGGCTGGCTCAGTCTTCGTTCTCAGTCATGGCTGGCCTAGATGCGTTCTCCACTATTGGGGTGATCCGACATATCCAACAAAACCTTATTGTTTTCCCAGGTTATTATTCTTTCTCCCTCCCTCACATTTCCCTCTATTATCGTCTCTCTTTGTCTTCTATATGGGGTTTATATCAAATCTGTACTGCTGCACGTCTGTGCAAAATTCTATCTTGAAACCAGTCAGTCAAGTTACAAGGGACAAAACAAGACACCTTGAAGTAGTTTGGTGGCCAGCAGTGGTATCCAGGATGTGCACACCTTGTTCGTCCTATTTGGGACTCGCCATTCGGGCGTACCTGCATTCCCCAGTCAGTTGGTGATGGTGTCCCAAGTGAAGCTCTTCGAACCCAATGCCCATCGTTTCAAACGCCAAAGCGTTACCCACTAGATCACAAGTGCTAAATAATATGAAATGCGCGTTGTCCTGTCCCAGATTCCACTGCAAGTCAACTCAGTCATCATCTATGAAAAATTGCTTCAAGTTAGAGCAGCCGACGACGTGTCAGTATCTCAGGCCGATTACTTCAGTTCAATCAATGAGACCTGATCATTGATTGTGGAAGACATGAAAGAGAAGGCTAGCTGTCTTTGATCATAGGTGCATGCGTTCTATCTCACTTCTGAAGTGGTACAATAGGTTGGACATCGGTCGAGTGCTAGGTAAAGAGGGGAAACCAATCGACGGGGCTGTGAATCTACATCCACTGAGATGGTTAGTATATGTGTTACGTATGGCTAGTCATCGCCTTCTTTGACCGATGGGCAATGTTAGCTGACATTGGGTCAGGCTGGAAAAGAACTAGCGGCGGTCATACCAAAACATAGCACCAGTCAATGAAATCTACAACAGTTAGTTTAAGTCAACCAGCCACGTAGGAAGATGTAGACTTTGCCAAATAGGACAACAAGCATCACTAGCTAAGACCCTGGCATCTCGAGCCATTGATGTATGTTGTGTTTCAGAAACACGCATACAAGACCCAAGTGTGGTTATTCACCTAACCCCACCTGGCCAACAGGATGAATCTTCAAAATTCACCTTGAGGGTGTCAGGAGATGCCACAGCTAGTTCACGGGGATTAGCTGGCGTAGGGATAGCTCTGAGTACTAGGGCAGAAAAGACATTGCTTGACTGGATCCCAGTAGATAGCCGAATGTGTGCTGTCCGTCTGAACGGATCAGTAAGAAGGAGAAAGGACTGCACTACTCGCCGATGCCTTTTCGTAATCTCCGCCTACGCCCCCACTGACTGCAGTTCGGATGAAACGAAGGATGAGTTCTACCAAAAGCTGTCTAGTTTGGTGAGAAAGGCTAAACGCTCAGATATAGTCGTTCTAGCTGGTGACTTCAACGCTCAAGTAGGGAAATTGTGTCAATCTGAGAAGGATGTCGGTGGCACCTATGGAGTTCCGTGCCAGCGAACCGACAACGGTGACCGTCTCCTACAGTTCTGTTCAGATAATCATTTGTTTCTTGTAAGCACTAACTTTAAACACAAGGAGAGACACTGTTTAACCTGGCGACCCCCATCATCAAACCAACGCTGGACACAAATAGACCACATAGCAATAAGCTATCGTTGGCGTGGGTCGGTAGGAGATTGTCGCTCCTTCTGGAACACGTGTGTAGATACCGATCACGCACTGGTCCGGGCTCGTGTGTGCTTACGACTGAACGGACGTAGGAAACAGCTGGCGGTAAAACCATCACGTCCCCAGCTCGATCAGGAAACTAAATCCCTATTTGAGGAAGAACTAGCTAAACGCATATCTGAATCGACAGCTGTGCTCACCCTGGAGAAGCCTGGAAGAATATTCAGTCAGCTATAGATACAGCTGTAAAAGCTGTGAATAAGACAAATCCAAAGGTGAGTAAAAACCACTGGATTTCGACTGCCTCATCCGAACTGATAGATGCTAGAAGACTTATTCCGGCGAGCTCCGAATTCAATGAGGAGCGAAAGCTGCACAAAAGGAAACTTACTAAAAGTCTCCGCAAGGACCGTGAACAGTGGTGGGTGACAAAGGCGAAAGAGATGGAAAAAGCATTGGCGATAGGCAACACTAGGCAACTCTTTAGACTCATCACAGAATCGGGCGGGAGAAGGCAATTCATAAGTGAGACTATTTCTGAGAAAAATGGCTCCTTAATTAGCTCTCAGGATAGACGCCTTGAACGCTGGAAAGAACACTTTGAGGAACAATTTAACTTGCCTACAGCCACACTGAACCTCCCCGCCATCCACCACGTACCCGAATGGGATATAGACACTGGTCCGCCGTCTGTAGGTGAGGTTACAAAAGCTATCAGTAATTTGAAACGAGGCAAAGCGGCAGGACCCGACGGAATTATTCCGGAGGTGTTTAAATATGGGGGTGACATACTAGTTTGTAGATTAACTGAGGTACTAGGCAAAGTCTGGGAATCAGAGACAGTACCATCAGACTGGGGTAAGTCACTTATTATACCGATATTCAAGAAGGGAAACAAGTCCTCGTGTGATAATCATAGGGGGATCAGCCTAACGAACATAGTCTCTAAAATCCTAGGCTCAGTAATCATGCATAGACTAAGCAGAACTCGGGAGGAACAGACAAGGGAAAATCAAGCAGGCTTTAGACCAGGTAGAGGGTGCATAGATCATATCTTCACTCTTCGACAGATTCTAGAACATAGACACACTTTTCGGCGTCCAACAATTGTCATATTTCTTGACTTGAAGGCGGCCTTCGACTCCGTGGACCGAAAGGTACTATGGCAATGTCTGACTGTGAAGGGAGTGCCAAGAAAGTACATTGCACTAATCAAGGCACTCTATTCAAACTCACGTAGTCGTGTAAGGGCTTATGGGGAATTGTCATCTGAATTGGTAACAACCAGTGGTGTCCGACAGGGATGTCCACTTTCCCCATTTCTGTTTAACTTCATCATAGATATGCTAATGGAAGTATCCTTAACTGAACGTAGTGACTTAGGAATCGACTTGTTACCAGGGAATAATCTAATGGACTTAGAATATGCAGATGACATAGTCCTGTTAGGGGAGGATGCTGACAAAATGCAGAGTCTTCTGAACACCTTGAGCAGCAATCTTCGTATGTTTGGCATGCGATTCGCCCCTGCAAAATGTAAGATGCTGCTACAGGACTGGACCACGTCAACCCCTAACTTAGTGATAGGGAGTGAAGTGATAGAACATGTTGACCACTTCACCTACTTGGGAAGTTGTATTAGCACCAACGGACTGATTGGCGATGAAATCTCAGCACGGATCCGAAAAGCTCGAGCTGCTTTCGCTGACTTACACCATCTCTGGCGTAGGCGTGACATCCGGTTATCAACCAAGGGACGTGTGTACTGCTCATCAGTTCGCTCCGTCCTTCTCTATGGCTCTGAAACATGGCCAATACGCGTTGAAGACATGAAAAGGTTGACTGCTTTCGATCATAGATGTCTGCGATCTCTGTCTCACGTTAGGTGGTTTCACAAGATAAGTAATGTTGACGTTAGGCGTAGAGTGTTGGGCAAAGAGGGAAAATCAATCGACGAGGTTATAAAGTTACATAGACTAAGATGGCTAGGTCACGTGGTGCGCATGCCTAACCACCGCCTCCCCCGACGGGCATTGCTAGCTGATATAGGTTCAGGTTGGAAAAGAGCCAGTGGTGGCCAAACAAAAACATGGCATCAATCCATGAAATCCTTGACAGTTAAACTGAGTCAGGTAGGGAGATGCAGACTCCCGGGTTGGGGCCCTCGGGACTCTAGGAATCAATGGCTGGAGACAATAGGTGACATGGCTCAAAATCGTTGTCAATGGCGCAGATGTATTCAGTCTCTGTAATCTTTCATATTCCTTTCTACCATTACCCATTCTGTTTCACTCTTATATTTGTCAAACTCTATTAATTCTCTTCACTCATCTTCTTGTCTACCTCTGTGTGCTATTTGGAACGTGGCAACTCGAACTGCTGCACTTCGGTGCCAAGTTCTATGTTGAATCCAGACAGACAGACAGACTTCTTGATTGGTTGGGGTCCTCAGGACGGTAAGCATCAATGGTGGCTGGAGACAATTGATGATATGGCTCAAAATCCTCTTTCTCAATGGCTGGCACAGATGCATCCACTCCTTGTAACTTATAATATCCAATAAAAGTATATTGTTCTTCGTTATTACTATTCCCTTTGTCTCATATCCCTATCTACTGTCTCTATTTTACATTCTTCTCTTGTTTTGTGTGCTGCATGGAGGGAGTGTGGTGACTTGAACTGGTGCACATCGATGCAAAGTTCTATGTTGAAAACAGACAGACAGTTCAATCAGCCAATCAATGAGCGGGAAAGTTCAAATTGTATTCGAATAAAAATTAGGACAACACCTAGGAATAATTGTTGTTTTTTATTTATTTAATCTATAAACGTTTTAAAAAAGAAAGCTCTGAAAATAATCAACTTACCAAAATATTAACAAGCAAATAGTATATAGCGATAATGATAATAATAATAATAACAATATTAATTAACATGAAAGTATTTGTACACAAGGTAAGCAGGCGGGCTGGCCGATAGTTGGTTAAGTAAGTCATCGATAGGACGGCAAGTAAGAGGGAGAGAGAGACAGCGAAGGATAGCGCGGAGAGGGGAAAGTAGTTTAAAATAGAAGAGAAAAAAGAACGATTAAATCATCAATTATAAATAAAAATGAAGACAAAATCATAATTCGGCCACCTCTAGAGGTTGAAAAGAGTAAAAATCTATTTACATGGGCTCCTTTTTATACTGATTAATCTCTGAAATAACATCATTTGACCGTGTTGTAACAGTTGTGAGAGGAAGTGAAGGAGAGGGAGGAGAAAGAGTAGTGGAATTTGTAGACACCTCCACAGGTCCATTACTAATATTATTATTATTATTATTAATGATAGTATTAGTATTATGAATATCACGATTAACATTTAAAAAGTTTACCAGATTCATATTCAATTGATTTAATGTTGATAAAGTACTATTGAATACAACAGGATTTGATGGAACAGAATATGTTGGGAGTGTGTTAAACTGTGGTAAGAGGAGCAATTGATGAGGAATAGTATTGTTATTAGTAGAAGGAGGGGAGCTAGCAGTAGCCGCCATAGCGGTCATTTGAGCAGTTGTCAATAGAATATTTGATGATAATGGAGTTAGTGGGTTGGGGAATATACTCACTGGAACATATACCATTTGATGATTAGTCTCCGATGGATTTGTGATATAAGTCATCTGAGGTGTATTATCATTACTACTATTATTATCATTATTATTATTATCATCAGTGATAATTCCATGCTCTAGAGATACGCTAGAACAATCCATTTGACTAGAATCCTGGGAAATATCATTAGGATTTAAATTTGAGATTTGTAGAAGGCTACCGCCATCATTATCATCACCATCTAGGCTTGAATTTGGGATTACTGTGGTATTCCTCCCACTGATGTGTGTCGATTCAACAGGATCTTTATGCTTAGCTGTATCGATACTACTAACACTATTATCAGTAGTAGTTGTAGTATTAATGGTAGTATTTCTCTCTTTTTTACAACCACTATCCGATTCATTGACATTTTGACTTCTAATAGAATCATTAGTATTGGTGGTAGTATTAATATTGAGATCTTGACAATGAGTTTTCATCATCGATAAATTTGCTGAATTCCCCGAACTTGAACTTAAACATGTTTGAATTATGATAGCGTTATTAGAAGACGGAGACTGTCTGAAAAATGTGATGATTACCTTGGTAATCCTTATTTGATTGGATTACCAAACGTTTGTGTTAATTATTCTTAATTCCGTTTTCTCTCACTTTGTTTAATTTAACCTTTCTATATATATTGACTTGACAAGTAAATGTGTGATCAGATTGTTCGAAATGTATAGCGCTAATACATCACATTTTTCAGACAGTCTCCGTCTTCTAATAACGCTATCAAAATTTATAAAAGGGACTAATTGTTTAAATTTTTGAAAAGAAGACTCCCTCCATGCACTATTAAACGGTTAGATGGACTTCTTAACCTAAAGTGTAAAGTAGCATCTGAAAAGGTGAAATTGGATTTTTATAAATCTTGCCTCTCAAGTCACACATTCCCGAAAGCATTTTACAAATCTCTTCGATCTTCTAAACTCCAACCAAATATTTCAGATCTTATTCGCCTCACGAAATCTCACATTGACAGTTCTAATGAGAAGTTATATTGATTGAACTCCATTTATCATCATCAAATATATTGTCTGATATCTCCATAATCTGCCAAATCAAGTTCACTAATTTTTGTAGCTCTGCCGTTAATAAGACGAAAGAGAATACTAGATTGAAACTGCTTGGATCCGGTACCTCTGACTATGAATTAAACCAATTCCCATTAAATCCTGATAAGTATGTGACAAATCTGTCATCGGTTGAACTTTTATTACATGAAAAGGAGGTGTTATCACTTGGTTTCAATTTTTCTATCCCATTGAACAATATTTCGGACTTAGCAATTGATTTTGAAAATTTGTATGATCAGTTGAGTTCTCTAACTCCTTCCTCGACAGATGACCAAAGTTGGCTGAAAGTTAAATTTGTTGATGTTGCACACCAATTCCGTAATTCAAGTCGGAAACAGAGAAGCATTTTAACACCAACCCATTTTAAAGCCCTAAAGGAATTACGTAACAGATCCGATATAGTTATTCTGAAACCTGACAAAGGATCTGGTGTAGTTGTAATGGACAGAAATGATTATAAAACAAAAATGTTATCCATTCTTAATGACGAAAATAAATTCATAGCCGAAAAAAAAAAAAAAAAAAAAAAAAAAAAAAAAAAAAAAAAAAAAAAAAAAAAAAAAAAAAAAAAAAAAAAAAAAAAAAAAAAAAAAAAAAAAAAAAAAAAAAAAAAAAAAAAAAAAAAAAAAAAAAAAAAAAAAAAAAAAAAAAAAAAAAAAAAAAAAAAAAAAAAAAAAAAAAAAAAAAAAAAAAAAAAAAAAAAATGTTCCTTCGGATGATATTAGAAAATTAGAAGGAAAAGTAAATTCTCATTTAGTAAAACTTCGCGGCATGAACGTTATCGATAAACAGGAGTTTAACTCCTTGAAACCCATGGGATCTGATTTTCCAAACCTCTATGGACTACCTAAAATTCATAAGGTTGACAATCCATTACGTCCAATTCTTTCAATGTGTAACTCTCCTACACATAAACTAGCAAAATGGTTAGCTGATATTTTAAGCCCAGTACGGAATGAATTATGTAAGTTTACTTTGAAAGATACATTTGAACTTGTTGACTGTCTTGTAGATATGAACATAAAAGATAGGAAAATGTATTCATTTGATGTTAATTCTTTGTTTATACCATTGATTAAGACTGTTGATATCCTTTGTGACTATATTTCTTCTAGTTGTTTTTCATTCCCTTTCCCTTTAACTTATTTGAAAGATTTATTATTATTATGTACTGACAACGTCCATTTCACGTTTGAAGGCGAACATTTTCGACAAGTGGATGGCGTTGCTATGGGAAGTCCATTAGGACCTTTGCTAGCGGACGTGTATATGTCTTATGTTGAAAACTTATCCCTTGATTTAATTTCAAAATTGCCCTTTTATAGGAGATATGTAGATGATATCATTTTGATATGTGACGATCATGAAGATGCGAGTCGCCTATTAGACAGACTTAACTCTGTACAAAATCATATCAGTCTTACATGTGAGGAAGAAAGTCGCAACCAGCTGTCATTTTTAGACATACTTCTGAGTTGAAGAGATGATGGCTCAATAAGACGGTCTATCTACAGAAAGCCCACTTGGACAGGGCAATACCTTAATTTTCACAGCTTCTGTCCATTACAGTATAAGAGGGGCTTGGTGAAGTGCCTATTCAAGAGGATTCAGCGTATTTGCACGGCTGATGTTATGGACAGAGAAAATGAAATATTAATGGATACTCTTGTTAAAAACGGATATCCTTTGAAATTTTTAAACAGGTGTAGAAGTCAACTAGCCTCTAAACCTACAATTCATACCGTCCCTAAGAAAAAGGTTTTTATCAAATTACCATATAACGGGGAAATAAACAGTAGGATTGTGAGACAAAGGTTGATTTCAATCATCCGTAGGACCTACTATGCTGCTCAGCTTGTAATTGTGGAAAAAGCCAAAAATATGCTTCACTGTAAACCCCAAAAGTGCACAAGTGATTATATCACATCCCATACAATTTACCAATTTTCGTGTGTGTGTGGACATACATACATAGGGAGGAGTAATCGCGCTTTGCACGTGAGGGTGGGAGAGCATATCCCAAAATGGTTAGAAAAACAGATGAATTGTGACAAGCTAATAGATGCAGGTGGCAGACTACCAAATTCGTCTATAGCTAAACATCTAATCGAGATGAACCATAAGATTGATGTTAACTCAGCCTTTAAGGTCATCTATAAAAACGGTCAAGGGCGTTTATTGAAATACGCAGAGGCTATAGCTATTCATAGACTTAAGCCCCCCTTGTGTATTCAAAAACAGTTTGTCATTACTCTTAACCTACCTTGGTAATCCTTATTTGATTGGATTACCAAACGTTTGTGTTAATTATTCTTAATTCCGTTTTCTCTCACTTTGTTTAATTTAACCTTTCTATATATATTGACTTGACAAGTAAATGTGTGATCAGATTGTTCGAAATGTATAGCGCTAATACATCACATTTTTCAGACAGTCTCCGTCTTCTAATAACGCTATCAAAATTTATAAAAGGGACTAATTGTTTTAAATGTTTGAATTAATTTTTTACCACACTCTAATTCAATAATACCTTTCAACCGTTGTGTTGCAAATGTATAAACATGATTTGTCTCTGAAGCAACAAGTAGAAGGACTTCAGCACCGGTTAATTCAGCTAATTCAACCGCTTTTTTCATTAGACCTGTTTTACGTTTTGAAAATGTTGAATATCGTTTAGTACGTTCAGAGATAAATTCAATAGGGATTTTTTGTTTACCACGTGTTAACTTTTCACCAGATAAATAATGATGTTCATCTGATGATTGTTGAGTAAATACTAGAGGAGTAGTATTGTTAGTGCTGGCGGTGATAGTGTCATCAGTATTGCTGCTGACAACTAGTCGACGTTTACTCCCAGTTGACGGTGATGGATGAATAAAAGACAAGGATGCAGTTGGAGTCGGACTACTAACTTCTGGGAGATTCATTGTCATATGCACGTCATTAGATCCAACGCCAATGCCTCCTCCTCCTCCTCCTCCTCCTCCATGTGAATCGAATTCATTATCACTATCACAATGGTTACTATTACTACTATTACCACAACTGAAGTCATTCCCATTGGATGATAAATAGTCTGGACATTCTGTGATAAATTTATAGACTTGAGGAGATTGTGAAAAAGTTGTCCCATTATTTACAGATATTTTTTCCATTCTTTTATTTGTTTATTGATTTATTTTTGTTCTACTTTTACAAAGAGAACAAACACAAAACGAAGATCAAATCATCTGTAATGATAAATCGAATAGTTTAAGGGTGATATTTTCAAAAAAAAATAACGTAAAAGTTTGATTTAGTTGTTTACAGAATTTCATAATGAGCTGACATTTGGTTAGAGAACCATTGGAAGCCGCCAGGGAGTACTGGGTAGCTGTTTCGTCAGCCTACTTTGGGACTCTTCACAGTACTCACCCACCGGGGTTTGAACCCAGGACCTTCTGGTTACAAGGTGAGCTCGTATACCATTAAGCAACTGGGACCCGATCCAGTGGCCACTCCATGAATTCCAAATTCTGCCAATTCATGACACAGCCAATGTCTTCGGCAAGTATTTGTCCTCACACCCGACCTACTGCACACTACTGGTCACGACCAGTCCCCGGTTGGACCCCCGGTGGGTGCGTACTGATGAGTCGCAAACTAGGACGAAACAGCTTTCCAGTACTCCCAGGCTTTCCAATGGTTCTCTAAACAATGTCAGCTCATGATGAAATCCTGTAACCAACCAAATCCCCACAATCCAACACTTAAATATTGATTTAGTTGTATTCTCTGAGCTGGATGGTTTGTTTGTGAAGCTTTCATTGCATCCTACTAGGTAACATCTTCATCGCGGATACTTCAATTCGAATTGAAGTGAGCTTTTAGATTTCTCCACGAGTTTATTAGTCATCTCTCCTGTTGGGTGACCTAGAACTTGACTGGTTTCTTTTGTCTGCTTTCACCCCTTTAATCCATTTGTATTGGTATTGATGGCCTCCTTGACCTGGAGTTTGACTTTCTTTGCAAGAGATTTTTTTTTCTTACCGATAGGTAAATTCTGTCTATGTCGATGTGTCTATTGATTGACGATTTACTGGAATACTAGGCAGGTTTCTAAAAATTCTGTGACATCCTTTGTATTTCTTCGTTCTAATATTTGAACGTTTTACCAGTCGAATTGATGTCCGTGGTTGTCTGTATGCAGCGATATGAGCCAGGGAGTGGATATGAAGTCTTTTGCCGACTAATTGCAGCACTCCCATCTTAAGGAAAATTGAAGAAAAATACCTCATGGACGTCTACCAAAAGAATTGATATCCACGGAATTTCATCAAAAGATATCTACCCCCAAGCCAACCTACCGAATCAAAGCCACTAACCAAGGAAAGCACAAAGGAAATCGTTCTACTACATATAGAGCACATCTCAAAAACCACTGCAAGACTCTTTAAACCTTTAGAAATTGACATCTCACACAAGCCACACAAGCTGACTGACTCTACGTCAACTAAAAGACTAAACAACGAAAGAATATGAAACCAACATCTACAGAATAAATTGTAACAACTGCGAAAAACACAACATTGGCCTACGTGGATATCCGCCTCGTCTTCGTATCCATGATCATAAACTAGCCGTCAAAAGATATGACGTTCACTCCCTCGGTCATATCGCTGCACACAGATAACCACGGACACTAATTCGACTCGTACAATGTTCATATATTAGAGAGAGGAAACACCAAAAACATCATCAGAGAATTTCGGGAAGTCTGACATTTCAGTGAATCAGCACTTAATAGACTCATTGATATGGACAAGATTTGCCGATCAATATGAAGGATATCTCAAATACAAAGGGGTCAAAGTTTAAGTCAAGGAAAAAATCAGTTTCAATACCACAAGTAGCCTAGAGGGTGTGAAAACACACGAAAACAACCAAGCATTTTCAAGGTTATCAGGAGAGATGGCTAATAAACTCGTGGAGAAATTTAAAATAAGACTTCAAAGCGAAGTATGCGCTGAAGATACTGCCTAGTAGAGGGCAATGAAAGCTTCTCAAATAAACCATCCAGCTCAGAGAACACAATTACATTAAAATCATCTACCTGAGCTACAAATCTTCTCCATCATATCTGGAACGTGAAATAAATGTTTGATTGAGACTCCTTTCCAATATCTTGATCAGATCAATGAGACATAAGACCATCAAGCTTTGAAGTCCATTATTACAGAAAGCTTTTTGCATTTCCCAGTGAATGAAAAAACACGATTTTGCTGCTCGATATTCTGCTATTTAATGCTGCAAATAGTTTTTATCAAGCAAACTTTTCTATGTAGAAGATCCAATCCTTAAGGATTTTCAGTCTAATTTTGTCTGTAAAATAAAATCCTTGGAATGCGATGCACGATATACATACGACAAACATCACCAGAGATCGAGCTCAGAAGAAATGAATACGTAGAACATCTGTTGAACTAGAAAAGCATGAAAAATCATCAGCCATAGGTGACCTAAACGCTATAGAATCACGTCTCAAAATTGATTTTAAAAATATTGAAATCATCATCCAGAAAATTTCAGAAATCCTAAAGGACATCTCATGTCATCGCAAGCACTTCATACCATCAAATGGAATCCAAATTGTCTGAATAGGAATGGTGGATTAAAACAGAATTTAATCCGGTTACAACACCCCATGTAATCTGTATCCACATATATATTTATGTGTGTGTGTGTATGTTGGTCTCTCTCTCTGTTTACTCGCTTAGTCTGTGACCATTTCACTTGTATGAAACTGTCTCCTTTAACAATGTATATTCTCCTTATATTATATTATATATAATATGAGTGTTTGTTGACAGTCCCTTGCTTGGTGACATATATCCATATTATATGTGTGGTTGTTGACATGTCTGGTATATTTCGCTATGTATATATGGATCGATACTTCATTATAATTAGCCATTCTTGTTAAGACTGTCTAATGATTGTTCACACCCTTGTCATATATATTTCGCTCTCACAATTTGTGTGACACTTGCTTTTGGTGTGATACCACTTTTGCATTCTCCTTGTGTTTGCAAAATAGAAGTATCATCTCAAACCTAGTGGTCTTCTGATTTCCGCCTTCTTGCGTCAGGACTATTAGTTTCTCGACCAGACCATAACTAACAATAAATTAGCGACGAGTACATAACAAATACTGAGGTGGTTAGGTATCGGTCAAGTGCTAAGAAAGGAAATAAAGCCTATCGATGAGGCTGTGAAGCTACTTGTCTTATGCATGACAAACCATTGCTTTCCTCAACAGTCACTACTGTTAGTTAACACAAGATTATGTTGGAAATAAGCTAGTGGTGGTCACACCAAGACTTCGCATCAGCCAGTTAGTTTGAGGCATTTAGGAAGGTGTAGACTGCCAGTCTGGCTGGTTGGTTGGTGGTAAGAACCAATGAAGGCTGGAGACAATTGGTGATATGGCTGGCTGGCTCAGTCTTCGTTCTCAGTCATGGCTGGCCTAGATGCGTTCTCCACTATTGGGGTGATCCGACATATCCAACAAAACCTTATTGTTTTCCCAGGTTATTATTCTTTCTCCCTCCCTCACATTTCCCTCTATTATCGTCTCTCTTTGTCTTCTATATGGGGTTTATATCAAATCTGTACTGCTGCACGTCTGTGCAAAATTCTATGTTGAAACCAGTCAGTCAAGTTACAAGGGACAAAACAAGACACCTTGAAGTAGTTTGGTGGCCAGCAGTGGTATCCAGGATGTGCACACCTTGTTCGTCCTATTTGGGACTCGCCATTCGGGCGTACCTGCATTCCCCAGTCAGTTGGTGATGGTGTCCCAAGTGAAGCTCTTCGAACCCAATGCCCATCGTTTCAAACGCCAAAGCGTTACCCACTAGATCACAAGTGCTAAATAATATGAAATGCGCGTTGTCCTGTCCCAGATTCCACTGCAAGTCAAATCAGTCATCATCTATGGAAAATTGCTTCAAGTTAGAGCAGCCGACGTGTCAGTATCTGAGGCCGATTACTTCAGTTCAATCAATGAGACCTGATCATTGATTGTGGAAGACATGAAAGAGAAGGCTAGCTGTCTTTGATCATAGGTGCATGCGTTCTATCTCACTTCTGAAGTGGTACAATAGGTTGGACATCGGTCGAGCGCTAGGTAAGGAGGGGAAACTGATATGTATCCACATATGTATATTTATGTGTGTGTGTGTGCATGTTGGTCTCTCTTTCTGTTTGCTCTCTTAGTCTGTGACCATTTCACTTGTATGAAACTGTCTCATTTAACAATGTATATTCTCCTTATATTATATTATATATAATATGAGCGTTTGTTGACAGTCCCTTGCTTGGTTACATATATCCATATTATATCTGTGGTTGTTGACATGTCTCCTATATTTCGCTATGTATATATGGATCGATACTTCATTATAATTAGCCATTCATGTTAAGACTGTCTAATGATTTGTCTGGAACATTCATATATATTTCTCATTCACAATTTGTGTGAACTACTTTACTTTACTTACTTATCAGTTTGGTGTGAGACCATTTATTTTCGTCTCCTTGTGTTTGGACAATAGAAGTATCATCGCAAACCTAGTGGTCTTCTGATTTCCGCCTTCTTGCGTCAGGATTATTAGTTTCTCGACCAGTCCATAACAATAAATTAGCGACGAGTACATAACAATTTGGCGACGAGGAAAAACTAATATTAACCACTCAGCAGCAGCAACATAACAATTTACTATGGATCCTTCTAAATTGGAATTATTGTTTGAACAACAATTGAAATTAATGGAAATGTTCGTTAACCAACAGACTGGTCCAGCTTCACCTTCAACCAATCCCAATCATACCATGCTTCTATCTGTCGACGGAATTGTGAACAGTATTTCACAGTTCAATTATGACCCAGAGGCTAATGTCACTTTTGAATCATGCTATCAACGTTATGAGGACTTATTCACTGTTGATCTCGCCTCGCAAGACGATGCCTGGAAGGTGCGAGTGTTGTTACGTAAATTGGGTCCCGCAGAATATGAACGGTACTGCAACCTAATTTTACCCCAGAAACCACGTGACAAGTGTTTCGATGATACAATAAAGCTGCTGCGTGAACATTTTGGAGACCGCTCGTCAT